CTGAAAAGCAGCTTTCATCCCTTTTTCCATTCCTTGATTGTTGAATGCTTCAATAGAACTCGCCACGTTCGCCATCTGGGTTTAGGGTTTAGGGTATGCACTCCACGATAATATAGTAGTTCTAACTGTCTTTTCTCGCCTTCGGGATCCGGCCGTGACAGCTTCGCGAGTGCCTTGTCGAATCATTCTGCCAAACATTGTGGTCCCCAAAACAAACATGGCAAACAGGACTGCCATAGTATCGCTATGCCTACTGTGTATCCCTCGGGGTCGCTCGCGCCCTCACTATCTTAAAAGAGTTGCACTTGAACATTAGGTTGGTGGACGGGTCGTGCAAACCTGTTGGTTTCATGCCAGGCGAAAGAACCTCAGCCTGAATCTCTGGTTTATGTGTTATCAATGGGACGCGTCACGCGGCGCCAGAAGCTGGATCTGTCTGATGGAGTTTGTTCCGGTCGATCAGGTTCAACCACGTTCTGTAAGGCCCTCCCTCCCTGAATTCAACATGAGCGTTTCCACAAGGGGGGTGGCCCCTTCTATAGCCTAATTAGTTTAGACACATGATGAATAACCCCCCCTCCGTTTAAGAGCCTAAATATTTGGATCTCTATTACAATCCCTATTATATAAGGGGAGGTGGTTAATTTATGAGGGATCTGGGTTAAACAGTTGTAGCCCTGGCTGTAGGGCTGTAGGGAATCCCAGAAGGGGACAAAAGCAGTAGGGATCCTTGCCATGAGCTCACAACTGCCTGGGATTAGATAATCTAGGGGTTTAGGGTTTAGGGCTTAGGGTTTAGGGTTTAGGGCGCTTCAGTCCTTCTTGATCAAGTAGGTCAAGTGACACTTCCCGCCTCAGACGCTGACGCGATTTCAGGCAAAAACGCAAGAGCACAACCCACCAGCGACACGAGTCCTGAAAACAGGTTGTGCAAGCATCATAACTTGGGTCCTGCCCCCACCCATTCACAGTCTATAATAAGGGTCATACTAAGGGCTCTATAAAATCATATTATAAATATGATCCAACTGTTAATGTGTGGGGGCAGTACCCAAATCATAACTTTCTTTGCTTCTGCTAGTAAGGAATCAAGGAATGGATCCCTCTAGCAGCCCCTGGATAATCTCCCCTTTGATGGCCACTACAACCAGCAATTATCCCTTGGCTCCATACTAGAACCTCTAAATACTAAACCCTAAACCCTACAGAAGTGTCTATGTCCTTTCAAGTCCTTGCCACTCCCTACTATAATAAGGGTAGTTTGGTAACCCCAACCCCCAAAATTAGGACCCTATGACTATCATATGATGGTTATAGGGTCCTAATTTGGGGGGTTGGGGTTACCAAGCTACCCTTATTATACTAACCACCAAAGAGTTTCCTCGCCAATGACAGCTCTCATCCATACAAATTCATGAGCCTCTGCAACATCGGGGCAAGGAAGCTTGCTTTCGCTTACTAGGTAATGGGTTACTACACGGTCTAGGGCCTAGGGTTGGGAGTCTAGGATGTTTAGCAAGGAATTAAGGAACATGGGTGATAGGAACCATCGTTGGGGATCATACAGACTTGCTTACTGATCCATTTCTCCATTCTCTGCATTCCGTCAGGGAGCTTCCGAAGATTCACAGAAGTCCCAGTCAATCTGGCTTGAGCCAGACCTTGCTATGGGCCGAAACTAGCTCCGCTGCTTAAGCACTTTCGTGTTTTTGAAACTGATTGTATTTTGCTCTGGGCTACCACTATGGCTGAAATTTCTGCTGGCTGCTAGCAAGTAGCCTGCATGCTGTCAAGCTTGATTCAACCTAACCCCTAAACCCTAAGCCCTAAACTCTAAACCCCAACCCTCAAGGATGCTAGGATCCCTATGTGATCTCAACATCCAGAATCATTCAGAAGCAGGGCCCAAAAGACCCAACTCCCTAGTCCCTAAACCCTAAACCCTAAATCCGCTAATCTCTACACCCAAAAACGTGATTTAAAGGCATCCATGGCCGGGTTTCTGTGCAGGAACTTAACCAAGTTACCAGTATCAATAAAGCAAATCTGTAGTCGTATGATTAACGTTATAAGGACACCCAGGTATTCGCTGCATATATATATATATATACACTTTTGTTTACTCATATGCACCATCCATATTCAGGTAATTCTTAAAACCATGTGTACCTCAAGTTAATTACCGATGAAGCTCAGTTCCCATGGTCATTTTCCATTTGATTCAACAGTATTGTTGAATGTCAGACTGTCTGCTATATATTCATCTTCAGAAGCCCTGGGCCCTAAGCCCCTAAACCACACCCTAAACCCTAAACTCTGAATCTTTGAGCCCTTGTTCCTCAACAGAAGTTCAACGTACGGTGGATACTTAGAATCCTGCATGACCCTAAATGCTCTAAACCTTCGTAATTACAGTAGCGTAGTATACTAAAATCATGCAGGATTTTTGATATCTACATTAGTATCCCCCTTAATGACCCCATAACAGTCCCCGATATAAATAAGTGGCAACCCGAAACCTTACACCCTTAATATCAACAGTAGGGCCCTGGCAGTAATAGCGGTTGAAGTGCATCGCCATGAAGACCTGGTTCTTAAGCCACAAAGGCTTTCCTTAGGGTTTAGGGTTTCAGGTTAAGGGTTCAGGGCTTTTGAGTTAGGGTTTAAGATTTAGGATTTAAGTTTTAGGATTTAGGGTTCAGGGCGTATGGTTTAGGGTTTAAGGTTCGTGGGACTTTTCATCATAAGCTTGAGTCAATACTTCCCATAACCCTATAGCCTCATATGTATATATATATATATATCCCTAAAGAATCCCCATACATTACTACTATGGTAATATCCTTGGTATGGCTGCTGTGGATGGAGGACGTGTGGCACCACCATACTTTCATACTTTACGCGCTAGGAACTAAAACATATGGGCACCACCGTAGTTACACACCTTTTGCACCAGGAGGTGAAACATCATGTGAATGTCCAATGATGCAAGGTTTCCTACATCTACCAAACTAATAGATGCGGATGGCAAGAGGTTGTGATGCCCGTGCTGAGAGCACTAGAGGAGAAATTTTGAGAAACTCTCATATCAAGGGTTCAGGTCCAGGAAATGAGGCTGAGGACTGAGGATGATGAAGCAGTCTTCTGGGAATAACAACCTGAGACCCGGAGGCGGACTTCATGAGTCTTTCGAACGTGCATCAAGCACGCTATCGCAAACAACATGCGGTTTTCTGCACAAACATCTCACAAAGACAATGCAAGTGACCTGCCCGAAAAGACATTGCAACATGCGAGAAGCTGCGCGAGATTACTGAAATGTCCTTGGACCTATAAGAACAAATGTGTTCAACAGTTCCTTGGGGTTATACTATAAGAAACATGAAAAAGGGTTGCCGAAGGTGATAGGAGATTGTGGGCTGCTCGAGTATCTTGGCTCAGCCAGCAGGGTTTAGGGTTCAGGTTCATACGCTAATGCCACGGCTTCGGACAGGAACCAACCCGTACTCAATGCAAGTCGCCACCAGCCCAAACAGTGCAAGCGGTAAGAAAAACACGATGAAACTCTGGAGGAACGTCAGAAACAGCATGCGACAGAATGACCGATGCAACTATGTAGACTGGGTGACTGGGTATACATCTGTTGCCCTTGAAGGAACCTACTGCAACCCATGCCAGAGAGGAGCTCAACAGCCCAGTGCACGGTGTAGGGTCCAGGGTTTGGGGCTGAAGGTTTAGGATTTGGGAAAACTTGACTGCCTTTGCTACATTCCGCGCTCAGACTGCTCAGGATGACTGTCAAACAAGCTCCAGATTTCCTGCCTAGCGTTTCAATAGACTCCTAGTCGCTCCAGCAAATAAAGCACAAAGGGTATTTGAAGTCGCAAAAGACCTAACAGGTAGGTTCTAAATGGGGTTAATAGCAGACTAACCCAATTAGGAGACTTGCAAACCCCAGATGAGACCTACTTGCTAGGACCCCTGGGCCTTCAAGTAGATGCAGGGATGCCGACAAACATCCTCACCCCCATCTTTGAATCTAATATCTCTCGCTTGCAGAAGAGGCGTTGGGCTTCGAAGCGACAAACATTGAAGGAGAACATCTCGGCAAGTTTGAGATACTTAGTGGTCGAACTCGAAACCCAATCTCTAACCTGAGATGCTCCGTCCAGGCCCGGATTCGAAAGTTCTAAAGCCCAAAGAAAATGGCCATGGGTCCTGATCCCGGCATCCTGCCCGGAGCCTTCAATCCTCAACAAACAAGGTCTCCAACACACAAATCCTTAAAACAACTACATTCTTAAGATCCATACTTCACCCTAAACCCTTAACCCTAAACCCCTAAACCCAAAAACCCTAAACCCAAAAACCCTAAACCCTAAGCCCTTAAACTGACAGCGAAACCCTAGAGCTGATCCCAAAACCCCTCAAGCGCAAACCCTTATCCATAGATTTTAAGTAGATAGAATATGGCGTTGGGTATCTTATAGTAAGATCCCCAGATATCCCATGTCCTATCTACTTAAGGGAGGCTATAACCCCTAGTATCAGCAGTAACCTAGAACTGAGAAGAGCACCCTTTTTCAATATGGAACTTGGGACCGCAACAAATGAGAAAACGTGGCCTACAGGGAGCGCCAAACCATGAACCCCAACCCAGGCAAAAGTTGGAAAGCCTGAACCCTAAACCCTACACCCTAAGGGGAACGCCTAACCCTAAACCCAACCCCATAATCCTAAACTCAGTCTGGACCTTGTATGGCCTTCCTTTTTGGGGTGCTGTCTACAATCCATTGGACCCTTCCAAAAAGCTATACTGTAAAGTCCAGGGTAGTAGCTTCCGTGTTCTTTTCCATTTGACTCCCCCCTACCTGTAACACTGAACCATACCTATCCCTTCATAACACAAAATCTTACCCCTATGTTTATCTATACACTGAACCCTACCTAGTGCTTGTCTAAGAATACTGTGCCTACACCCTAAACCCTGGGGAGCCAACACCAGGCCCACAGGTCTCATGTGGGCACTCTCGGCGAAGACGGGTCACCTAAGTAGGATTTGACTACCCTAAAGCCTAAGTCCTGAACCCTAAACCTCAGACCTGTGCCCAGAGACTGTTGGGGGCTGTGGGGGGGTGAGAAAAGGCTAGGGTTTAGGAGTTAGGGTTTAGGGTGTTGAGGGTTTAGGGTGTCGAGGGTGGGAGCGGCTCCAATATAAACAGTTTTCTAGCATTTCCCAATGAAAGGCTATGCTGAAAGACGGTGAGCACCGCACCAGCTAGGATCCCCCATGCCCGGTTGCCAAAGAGTTCAGGTACATGGACTGCTGCTAGATGTTTTCTGATTGAAACTCAATCAGGAAACCAAAGCTTCGATGGTGACTCTGAGGAAGAGAAAACTCTTAGGAGGAACCCTCCAAAATGCTGTTGATCTCAATCAAAATCCTGTCATGACCTAGTATTCTAGAGCACCATAATTCGCAAGGGCTCAAGGTACCAAGGGTCATGCAGGATTTTTCGTATCCACCCTCGCAAGCTGCATCCCTTCAAAGGTAAGGCCGACTAGACCCACATTGCACCAGTATCCCCAGAAATCAAAAACGTTGAGCAGATATAGGGAAACTCAAGAGGGTACTCATGATTTTGAGTGACCCTCAGATTTTTCTGGTACAGTTAAGGAAAATGCAGTCCTTCTTTTTCTATCATCCCTTAGCACAACAAACATGTTTTGTTTGGGTTTAGGCCTTTGATGCTAGGCATGGATCGTTCAGAAATGGTGGTTTACCACCTGCTCCAACAGTAGCTTTACGTAGTATCTCCATGCCAATTCCCTCCCAATACCAGGGTACAGGGCCCCTACTAGTGGCCCACCCTAAACCCCAAACGGAGGGTATATAGTTGGAGGGAAGTAGGGTAAGGATTAGCAACATCTTAATTACTTGTGTGCCACGGGCAAGGACGCGGATTGGTTCCGAAGGAGATGGGAAACAGAACCTAGGAGAATGCGAGGTGAGCATGTGATATACCGCCGAAAATAACCATTCAGCCAACAAAAACTTGGGAACTATAGACAGTATCCAATCCGGTAGAAAACCCTACACCCTAAACCCCTAAACCCTAAACCCCTAAACCCTAGCTCCCTAAATCCCTAAACCCCTAAACCCTAAACCTACCTTGTCGTTGGAGTCGACCTTGTAGAACTTCAGAACAGCAAGCTTGACCTATCGGGTTGTCCACACGGTTTAGGGTTCAGGGTTTAGGGTCTGGTGTACAGGCCTGTTTGACTAGAGTTGCTTACTGGTTCTTAGTCGGGAATATGGGAATGTATTATATAAGGATTATAATAGGGATTATGTAGGGATATATTCCCTGATGCCCTACTGAGCACCAGTCAGTTGACTAGACTTGGTCTTTCGGTAGATTAAACTAAGGTCCCCTGTAATCTAGGACTAAAAGGTCGCTCCTGTTTGAACATAGCATATTTTTAAAAGAACATAGGACCCACAAAGGCAAAACATGCTGACGCAACACTCCGGAAAATCTATTGGTACAAGCAGTATGAGTGAACACCACCCTAACCCTAAACCCGGTAACTGTTCAGGGTTCAACCTTGCGGCTCCCCGAACTGGAGAGGTTCGTGGGCACTTGCGAGTGGAGTCACAAGAGCCACTGTAATTGCATACGTCATCCTGTGCATAGCCCTAAACCCTAAACCCTTGGACTCGAAATGAGAAATAGTCTAAACTCCTAGTATCCCCTTAACAACCCCTATAGTTGTCCCCTATGTAATCCCCTATCAAACCCCTCTTTAAGGAGTTTGGACTATAAACCCTATCCCTAAACCCCGAACCCTAAATCCCACCTAACCCCCCTTTAAGGAGTTTAGCCCATAGCTCAAAGAGAGTGTTGCAGACGAAGACAAAATTCGCGCATCATAGCAGTTGATTTCTTGAAGAGACTCTGCTTCCTGCCTAGAAATTTAGGGTTTAGGGTTTAGGGCTTAGGGTTTAGGGTCCAGGGTTGGGTTTAGGGTTTCGGGTTTAGGGCTACTTGTGCCAGTGGAGTTTGCTTGGGGTCGGAGGAGCTAAGTAAGTATCCTAATGAGCCCTGGAAGCCATATAGTATCCCCAGTTCGCCCCGTTGTAGATCTACTTACCAAGTCCCCCGAGCCTCCAAGTAGCCAGGACTTAGAGAGAGTGCAGAGCTAAGCAGTACCGTAGGGGCCTGAATACTTACCAGCATGATTTTGAGGTCTATTTGCCCATGCAAGCTCCTAGACAATCCAAGTCTCCATCTGATTTCCCCCGGTCTTTTCCATGTGATTCTCCTTTCTTGGTATGCAAGTTCGAGCCCAAGGTTTTCCTATCGAGGTTCTCCCAACAGGACGATCCTGTGAACCGGAGGAATCTCGCAAACCTGAATAATTATGCCTCATAACTGCCTAAACCCTAAACCTGTAAACCCCCCTGTTTTTGAGGTCCTAAGCACTGCCAGCTGACCTCCATGCACCGTCTCCCACAATGTCGGGACTTGTACTTGTATATCTTAACCCTAAATTCCAAACCCCAAACCCTAAATTAAGAAGGGCCGACATCAGTTCACAAGGCGTCTCTGGGACCAATGTGATTGAAGGGGTGGGCCATCTTTCAAAGGACGTGAAAATGCTTAATGGGTATATATAATAATAAATATGGTTTCAAAAATAGTAACTTCAAGTAAATTCCTTAACAGCATCCCAGCTACTGTGGCATTCTTGGATATCAAGCCCTAGCTTTGGGATCTCGACCTAAGCTTGACATATCTGCAGCCGAGTTCTGCTTGAGGGTTCAAGCTTCTCGGGCCCTGAGGCTCGTGTCTAGAATCTCAGTCGGATAAAGCCCCGGGTTCTTAGAAGTTTTGTTCAAGAACTCCTCCCCTTGAGAAAAGGGCATTCGCACGTATTGTTGCCAGATCCCAAGAAAAAGGCACTTAAATCTCCTTCGTCACAAAGAGCCCTTGGGAGACCCACTGAGCAAGCTACTTCTTGAACACATCGATGCTTCTTGCACAAGGGAAATCGTCATTCTCCACTGGGTAGCATCAATATGTCCGCTCAGATCAGATGACGCAAAGCTTGGGAGAGCATCCGTTACAGAGTCGATACAGTTGACGTTCTGATATATGAGCCATAGTCTAAACTCCTAGTATCCCTCTTCATAACCCCTGTAATACTCCCTCTATAATCCCTATATAACCCCCTTCAAGGAGCTTAGAATATAGCTCACGTGGCATCAATGGCTGCCTGCACCGTGCCTTCTTCCTCTTGTGCTTGATCTTCTTCGGCTTGGTGTAGGTCTTCTTCTTGCGCCTAGAATCAAAAGCAAAAGCGCCCAAAATGCAGTGAACTCGGTCCGCACATCCCTGCCGAACGGATCTATACTTGTCTGTATGTATATACACGCAGACTCACATGTCGACATAGGATCCAGCATGCGTTGCAAATATCCATGTCTTAAGCACTTCTCTGTTGTTGTCCAAGAGTCTTCTTGCCGCCACCGCCTCAGTTCAGCTCCGACCAAGCTCCAACAAGAGAAAAGATAATGCCCTAAGGGTCCAAGGACCCAAATAATAGGGCTTTAGGGCCCAAATACCATTAACATTATAGTATTTGGGCCCTAAAACCCTCCTATTTGGGTCCTTGGACCCTTAGGGATGTAAAGGCCTATCTAATCAGAACAGGGTTTGGGGTAGAACATATCACAGGGAGGGTTCCCGAAATTAGGGGTACCTTTTTGGGGTCCCATGAACAGGACTATAGTATTTGGGGGTCTTTGTTGGGTCCCCTTACTTTGGGAAACTACCATAGTCATAGTCATACAGGAGTTACTATAAACTGGATTGGAAATTCGTCGGGGTGCTACAGTAGTCAGCAAGGCCGTCATATCTCCCGCTTCGATGTCCCTTTTTGTACCAGGGCCTACATGAATGAACCTACTAACATTCTGGCAACTTCCATTTGCCTTTCCATTGCATTATGTAGCAGAAACAGGCTAGGTCTTGCAACAGGCCGCTGTGTTTTGACGCTCCTTCTGCGTAGCAGCTTCCACTTTCGACAATCACTGCGTTGCACCTTAAACCCCAAATCCTAAAAACCTCCGTTCTTTGTTCCAATACCCATGTCTAGGGTCATGGCTTGTAAGCACCAGTCACCTTGGATCACTGAACTTAAGGATACCTAGAATAACCATTCTATCCACACTAAAGAGCTGCGTACCTCAGAATTCAATATCTTTACCTGTTTCTGGGTTGCTGTTAATTAAGGAACTTAAGTCAAGTTAATTACCATACTACGGGTATATAGAAAGAAGGGCGGGTTTCCGTATTATAGTAACATATGTTTAAGCTCCTTGACAGCAACCCCAACTTTTTGAGGTCTAGGTTACTAGGTAGGCCCTAGCCGCCACATCAGCTGCGGGCTCCATGCTGCGGCAAAAGTCTTTTGCAGATATGCGATAGGGCTGCACAAAGTATGTTTCATGCCTCCGCAACAAAGGCGCCCTTCTCTAAGTTAAGATCCATGCCTTACAGGTGTATGTAAGTTTGTGCCCAAGATCGAAACCCAAAACCCTAGAGTAACCACCTAGAGCCTCAACAAGGCAAAGAACATGAGCATTAGGTACCAGGCCCTTTCGCAGGGGTACATTGCCTACTCCACGTACGCAGGTAGGCACTGAACCTCCAGTTTCTCGGCCTGGAAAGACTCCCAGCCTCACAGGTTTCCACACATGCCCCCAATACACATCCCCTTGATGAAATGGCTAACACCTTTTCTTAATTAAAAAAAAAACGGTGGCGCTTCAAAACATCAACCGTACAACCCTGAATCCTCAAGCCCAGCTACAACCCTAAACCCTCAAGCCCAGGTAAACGGAAATTGTATAGTTCAAGCCGAAACTCGCACGAAACCTGGTCAAAATTCCAGCCCTGAACCCTATAACATTTACATAAACCCTGAAACCTTAAGCATTAGAGAGGGAAGGATATGGAACCCTAAACGTAAACACCGCACCCTAAACCCTGAACCCTAACCCTGAACTCTAGACCCTAAACCTTGAACCCTAAACCCTGAACCCTACGCCTCAGGCAGCCGAGAGGCATAGCTCTGCCGAAAGGAAGAGGGTTGACTCCTCCTGCAGGCCACCTGGGTTTAGGGTTTAAGTTTACGGTTTGGGGTTTAGGGGGTTAGGGTTTAGGTTGAAAGTTTTATTTGGACTTCAATTGGATTTAAAGTGTAAATCCTTATAACATTGTATAGGGTGTCCGTTAGGGTAGAGGGGCTTCTATAAGGTTTACGGCTTAATTTAGGTTCAGTTTCAGTACGGCTTGGGGGCTTAGGGGATAGGACAAAGGTTTGTAAAGGCTGGGGGGCATGGAGTTGGGTGGCTTCAGGGCCAGGGACTAGGACTTACAGCTTAGGGGTTTAGGACTCGGAGTTCGGGCATGGGAGCTGGTTTAGGGCTTACGGGTTCTGACTTGGAGCTTAGGCATGGTAGAAGCGCAGTGATTTCTGCATCTGAGAAGGCGAGTATTTCAAAGACTCGTCCCCAAGATGTTTACCTCAGCTGTCCAGCATTTATCGGGCTTAGCCAAGGCTAACATTTTGTGGTTTGTAGTGGTGTTTGCATTAAACCCTAAACCCTAAAGCCTACACCCCGAACCCTAAGCCCTAAGTTCTTCCTAAGTTCTAGACAAAGGCTATCCCCTGGATGGGTGGAACTACAGCACGCATCTCTGATGCTTTTGCCACAGTGGCGGGACAAGTGCTTATTCTTGCTGGTTGCTAGTAGGGTATATGGCAGTATAAGCCATATATCCAAGAACTTCCTTATTCCCTACTAAGCCCCAGCAAGGTGTGGAACTTTTCGGAGCTCGGATGCCCCAACACGATTACCGAAGCCGCATTTATCGTTGAAGCCAAAAACAGGCCGAAATTTGAGAACCGCATTCCGTGGCCGGACCCATTTCTTAATCAGGAGTGATGCTTTGGGTATGCACAGATCATCGTGTGAGTTTCTGAACTTCCCAAAGCCAAAAAGCCTCAAGAAGCGCATCCTCCAGCACCCAGGCTGAAATCTAAATCCACGTAATCATCTGTGCTTGGTGGAGTACAGTCAGGCTTTGGCGAAGCTCCTCAAGCAGTCTGATTCGCAAATGCAGCCCGCCAAGACCTTGCCCTTTAAGCCTCTCTCATCTAAGTTCTGGTTGAAATACAATTAAAAAAGATCTTTGTTTATTGATATTGGGCCCAGGTATCCATGAAGATGTGAAATTTTGTTCTACAAGAGCCCAGTCATAATCATTAATCACAGTTTCCATTCAGCTCTTCATGTTCAGTTCCATTCAATCCTACATTATTGGTAACTATACCTGTGACCCCCATTACCTACAGTTTTATGGGTTATACCTACTAAGGGGGTTATTACTACTAAACTGTAGGTAACTGTGGTTACAGGCAGACCCTAAACACTGCTGCCCGGCCGCACTCGGACAGCAGCATCTCATCCGACAAGGATGAGCCGCCGAAGAGGACTGCCAGCCTCAGCAGGTTTAGGCTTTCGGGCTTTAGGGTTTAGGGTTTAAGGTTTTGGGGTTAGGGCAGCGTTTAGGGTTTAGGCTTTTAGGGCTTTAGGGCTTTTAGGGTTTAGAATTTAGGTTCAGGGGCTTTGGGGTCTTGATGGAGCTTGAGTATGGGGAAGCAAATGGAGAAGACAATGGAATATGTAATTGAAACTGGGTGTCTACCAGGTCAACATCATGTGATATCTATTGGAGGTGCTGAGGTGCCCTACACCATAATTGGACAGTGAATCTAGAACCGTAAGTTTGGCAAACTATTTAGGCTTCTACTGTATATGAGCTATAGTCTAAACTCCTAGTATCCCCCTTAATAAGCCCTATAATACTCCCCTATATGATCCCTAATATATCCCCCTTCAGGGAGTTTAGACTATAGCTCATATGCGCCTGGGGTGGTTGGCGGGTTAGATGGTCTGAGAAACTGTAGGGTTTGGGATTGGAGTCGAGGTGCTTTGAAGGCTCCTCGCTAAAAGACCCTAAACCTTAAACTCTCAACATGTCTTAGTTTTTAGGCGATTTCCAGGCTGAGGAACGAAGGCCGAAGCGTTTAGGATTGATGCAGAGTCTAGGGCTATGGGATTTGGAGAAAGTTGGCCCTGAACCCTAAGCCCTAAACCACAGGCTTTTGAAGGTCAGGATTTTGGTTGCTTCGATTTCTCGAGGTCTCGGACCACGATTCCGCAAAAGGGCGGCGCAGAGGGCACAATCAGCAAATTTCAGAGGATTCAAAGATCTTGAGGCTTACCCTGAACCTCAAAGCGGGGAATCCAAAGACATTGAGTTTTGCTATGGTGCTACTTGTGAAACACACCTTGCTTCCGGAGCTTTCTTGCGCATTCTCTGGCCTTGGCTGCAGAATGTTCCTTGATGCAGAAGCCGAACAAATGAGCTGCATTGTGGTCGTAGATTCCTTGTACACGTGTTATAGGATACCTCCTTAACCCTAAACCCTAAAGTGTCCCTGATGTTGGCAATCTTTTAGGCCCCTGTATCACACATGTACTGCTGGCCGTAACTTGGGGCAGGACTGGTTGGATCAAGCGGCTGAGGTTTTGATGTCTAGGGTCTAGGATCCCCAGACCCGCTTTGGGGTGTGCGGTCGGGCGGTTTATGGTTTAGGGCTAGGGTTTAGGGATCCGAGAAAACATCAAGAAGTTGAGCCCGCCTTCAAGCCTCCCCGCAGCAGGGAAAGGACCAACTTAGCTGGCTCTCATGGATCTCTAGGGGGATAGGCACTCATTGTGCCAGGGTTGGGCTTGCTGTTCTGGCCCGTAAAGATCAATTAGAAGAGGTGAGATAGAGAGTACCCTAAACCCTGAACCCTAGACCCTAAACCGCTTGGCCTGTCATCCCCCTCCTCTGTCAGACAGCCATGGCTGCGGTTTGGGGTCCAGGGTTTGGGGATCTCATCCTCCTCCAGACCCTACTGAGTCTAACCCCTACACACTATTCCCTACTGAGTGGACTCTACTTCCCTGGGGCTCATCCCCCGAAGGACCACCCGGGTTTTAGCTTCATACTCTAGGGCTTAGGTATCCTAAACCCTAAATCCCGCTGTCCCACCCGCCCCGGCATGAACCCGTGCAGAATTGCTGGAAGCTTACGGCCGCCTGCTGATCATCACCCCTACGCCACACATGTTTGCCGGAGGTCCGTGAGAAAAGCGGCACACTGCTCGGGACCCTGGTACCATTATGGAGGTTTCCGCAAGGGGACAACGCTGCAGACACAAACGTAGCTTAATCTCGTTATAGGGGCTCCCAAACTGGGGCCCCTCATCCGCTGGCTCGTTATCAAAAGCCCTGAGCGCCAAATCCACCTCTGGAGGCTGAACTGCAAGTCTTACTTACTTGCTTGTGGTCATCAGGGCATGCAGGCATAGGCTGTAGAAGCCCTCATTGAGGGATTTCGGACTACCATAGGCATGCGTGGCTACCTTTAAACTAACTCATAGTAAGCTAAGAAATACGCACAAGCCCTAACCCGTAAACCCTAAAGCCCTAAGCCCCCTAAACCCACCGAACTGAGGCCAAAGCTCGCTTGCGTCATTGCCTGCAATCTGGGCCTGGCATGTTAGGTTACCAAGCTTACTGGGGGTTGTATAGGTTTAGGGTTTAAGGTTTAGGGTGTAGGTTTTAGGGGTTTAGGGTTTAAGGTTTAGGGGTTTAGGGTTTAGGGTTTAGGGTTTAGGCTTTAGGGCTGATAGGGCTTTTTTGGGGAGTATGTAGGGATTACACAAGGATAATATTATGAGCTATAGTCTAAACTCCTAGTAGCCCCTTAATAAGCGCTATAGTAGTCCCCTATATATTCCCCTAAATAGCCCCCTTTAAGGAGTTTAGACTGTGGCTCATATAGTTTCTTTTGTTATGGGACCTTTTCTCCTCAGGAAAATCCCTCAGAAATGGCACTAGAGCACGGCCCGACTCCACGAAAGCGTTTAGGGTTTAGGGATTAGGGTTCGGTGTTTGGGGGCTGCAGCTGGTCCGCTGGACTTCGTCTCATTGGTTCTTAGTAGGAAATATGGGCATAGAATCCCTATACCACATATTCACTTCTTCCCTAATTAATAACCCTATACCTAAACCCTATATAACCCCAGGAAGCTTGGTCATGGCTACACGGACTTTGTAACTTGCAGCTGTGGTTACTCCATTTGAACCTGCGAATGTCTCAAAAAGCTGTGACCATATCCTACTTCATGATGAAGGGGATTTAGGGTTTAGGGTGTAGGGTGTTTCTGTACATGGACATCAAGAAGAGCAATACACAACAATAAGAGCCCAGTTCACGAGGTTGTGAATCTCTGTAACGCCTTCCGCACGCCCTTGGTGAATTGCATGCAGACGCGAATCTCCCAAAGCTCTCCAAGAAAAACTGGGTTGCTGTTAAGGAAGTTAAATAAAGCTACCATAATGGGTATATATATATATACATAGCAAGAATTATGGTTTCCCCAATATAGTAACTTAAATTACGTTCCTTAAATAGCATAGCAAAACAAAAAAAAACGCAAGGGAAAACCCTGATGCCTTCAGTGCCCCGACGCTGCCATCCGGGCTGCACTCCACAGGCTGAGTGTTGCCCACGACATCGCGCACGAAGAGTCGCATGGCCTCAAACCGGTCTTTGACATCGGGTAGTGGGTTATGTTGGAATAATGGAAAAGAAAATGGAAACTACTAAAGTATATTGGAGTTAAATTGGGGTTATATTGGGATTATGGAAAAGAAAATGGAAACCTTTAGGTGGTGGTGATGGCGGGCGGCTGGTCAAGGTTCTCGGTAATTAGGTCGATGTCGGCGCATCATACTTTGAGCTTGTGAGTTTTTTGCAAATGGACCCGTGATTGCGCAGCCATGATAAGGTATCATGAGTATGGGGAGGCAAAACACTGTCGTATGACATACAGGCGACATTGAGCAGCAGTCTGCCACAGATGTGTGGTAACAGCACGTCGTGCCCCAACAAAATTATCGACCACACAGAAGCGAACATGTAACGTTGGAACTGTTGTCACCTTGTTCTGTATGGTCCCAGGCCTAAGTGTTGAAACTTGAAACCATATATGAACCGCTGCAGAGCACCCCACAACTTCACGTTACACACAAGAACTGTTGCGCCTGCACTGCTAGAACCCTAAGGGTCCACGGACCCAAATACTATGGCTTTAGGCCCGAATAGTATAATATTACTGGTATTTGGGCCCTAGAACCCTATTATTCGGGTCCTTGGACCTTTAGGGGAAGCT